TCATGGAGGACTTGGGTTTTGTCCAATTGTTGGTGGAGGAGAACAAATTGGAAAGCAAAATCAAAGGCGAGGAGGATGGGTAGGGGAGGGATGGCACTGGAGAGGAAAAGGCGAGGGTGAAAAGACAGACGGTTGAATTCTTTTCATTTTTATTGTCAAATATGTGAATGAAAGTAAAAATTTTATCGTTAAACTGACATTTTGAATGCCATTGAAGCAATGGCATTGCTAGAGCATAATACTGCTAATCTTTGAATCTTACTTTTTTGTTGAAACTAAAAAAAATCAGGTTCATTATGCGCGATGCAGTGTACTCTTTTTTATTTGAATTCTAGTTTTATTTCACCGATTGCAAAAGAATCATGATTCAAAATCATGCTTTTTCTTGTAAATGCTCATTCTATGCAGGATGCGCTGCTCCTGGTCCATCATCGATGTTGCATTTCTGCCCAAAACGAGGATCGGAAAAAGTAGGGGTTTCTATAAGCAAGAATAATTTAGTGTTTTAAAAAACTGAATTGAGAACTGAAATTAGAATATCTTGCAGAATCGAATCGAATAACCTGGCATAGCTGCATCTGACATTTTTGGAATCATCACAGTGTAAAATCACTAGCACGGGAACTGAGGCGGATCCAGGGCGGCTTTTCGGGATGGGGGATGGCTGGAGGAGGGGAGAGAAGGGTGCGAAAGAGAGTTTCCTGCAATTTTAGCTACCTGTACTGCTTGGGAGGTGGAAGGGGTGGAGGAAGGGAGGAGGAGGGAGGGGGCGGGGTGAAGGACCCATCGCTTCCCTGAATCCGCCTATATACGGAATATCAACACCGATTATTCGAGGGATCTTTGGTATTGCAGTGACATATTTGCTGGGTTGCGTGTGATCCAGAGATTGAGAGTGATCCTGAAAGCACATGATCCTAGAAGTGCTTTCTAATTTTCGAATCTTTTGCATAGGCACGGAAATTTAAAAAGTTTCGATTTGTGATTCTGCTATGCAAATTATTCCCTCACGAAAGAGGCAGCTATCGATAACGGGTGATTGCTATTAGCACGTGCTACCACTCAGGCTACTTTTGAGTACCCCACCACTTGCAGGGGCGGGGGTAGGTACAGAAGGATTTCGACCTTGATTTTGGCCACTGGTCAAATCCTTCCCCCTCTTCCTCTTTCCCGCCGCTTGTCTGCTTAAGTTTTGCATGTTTTTTATAACTGGAGAGTCATTTTCGGCCTCTAAATAAGCTCTCAGGAAGTGCTCTGTCGTTTCTTTCAATGGTACTAAGATTTAGCTAAACATGGTTATACCAGGTCATCCTCTCTTGAACCGGAAACATACGTTCCCGATGCCTCAAACATGACACATATTCGGCTTCGGCGTGGTACGTTGTAGCAGAGCAGCACGATCCTCGTTCGGTGCAGCAGCTGTATATCATGATATTTTGTCTTTCTTGCTTTTTTCTACGCCTGATGTTCCGTTCAAAGTCGCTTTCAAAAAAAATTTTTTTTGTGTATCATGTATTGATATTACTGTAATTTGAAACTAATTTTCTTGAATTTTTTAGTATTTTTTCTGAATATTATGAAAGTGCATACAGTCATGTTTAGCTTGAATTCGTCAATTTTGCGGGGACATTCAACCCCGCTAACATTCGTTCATTCGTTTCGATGGTAAATTTGTTCATTCTTTTCAGTGGTACTGACATATGCGAAGGTCTCATGTCCCCAGCTTGTTTTTATCAAAACACTCATATGCAGTGGAAAATTTCGATTAGTTCATAGGTGGTTTCCGAGTGACTTCTGAGCATGGTAAAGGCGAAGAAAAGTGGCATTTCTGAGTTTTATTAAAAATGGATTTCCTTGTCGGCAAAAACAAGACACCTTCAATATTTCAGTGGGTGAGAAATTTCGACAGAAGTTGCTCGTGTGATATCTACTTGCTAACGGATCTGTCGATGGTTTCCTCTTTTGAGTGTTGAAAGTGAATTGACAGCAAAGACAGGTTTGAATGCATGGATTGTTAGGGCATATTTAGTAAACGAATTAGTCATCATCAAAATGATTCCGTAAAAGGTCATCGGAGGGTCAGTTTTTTGTTGGCGGATTGGAACCAGTAATTTCAGTTCCAAGATTAAAGTGACAGTTTTTGCCTCGAGCTCCTGACTAGCATTGGTTGTCCCTTTCCTCTATCATGTCCTCAAACCCTGCCTCCAAGGCGGCATCTGGGACCACTGACCGTCACCCCCAACCACACAGCACCTTCTTAGAAGACTTTTACACTTGTCTCTTTGTGATTGCTTTTACTGTTCCAAGTTTCTGAGGGGCCCTGATGTACAGCTATCATCTCTCCAGGTACCCGTTGTATTCAGGCACTTTTTACCGCTTCTTCAGACATCGACCGCAGTGGTTCCTTCCCGTCCTCTTTTCCCAGTACTTCTCTTGCTGCACCACTTGTTTGTTGTCAGATGTCATCAATTGAATTCTGCATGACGATACCCTTCAACATCACTGATTTTTTTTTTTTTTTTGAGCAAGTAATTTTGTTAAAGATAGTTTTATTATTATTAAACGCATCAGCAATCAATGAATATCCTAATCAGTCATCAAGAACAGGTTTTCATTAACAGCCACTTAGCTGCATTACGTTACAGCAATATGAGAAAAAATAAAATAAAATCCGTGAATAGCCGAGGGAAAAGGCGGGGAAAGTAAGTGGTGCTGAGGTCGGTAGGTACCACTTCATCATAATTTGCAAGTGGCAACATTTTGAGACGACACTGGGAGGATGGAGGAAAGGGGGAGCAGAAGAGAGTTTTCTTCAGTTCTAGCTTTAGACCCAGACTTTTGTAGCACTCGCCCATCCCCCTTTCCTCTGTCTGGACCCACCTATGCGAGACGATGAGATGATCTCGACATCTGGCAAATCTCGAAGCGGCTTAAATTCTTGCCCAGTGTTTCTGTCAAGGAAACAATTTGAACTGGTAATCCATTCAGATGATGAAATGAATTGCCCAGCACAATGATCACCAGGAGGCAATTCTGCATCGGTAGTGGAACCAGAAAAAAGCATGCCAGTTGCATAGACAGAAAAATAAGAAAGTTGGGTCTAAACAAACAGTGTAAAATAATACCAGAACCATGAGCACCAGGAAATAGTTTCAAAATGTATTTCTAGTTTAATTGTCAATTTAATGATTTTAATGATCAATTTAAAAAGAAAAAAACATGAGAATAAATATGGTCAATGTGCGTGTGTTAATTTTAAAATAAAAAACATAAAAGAGTAAATACACGCAAAAAAACTCATAGGAGTAAAATTCTCCGGTTTTTTGATCCCTGTCCAAGTACAACTCAAATATTTCAAATTCAGCCCCAAGCTATGCGTGGTACTCATGTAAAAGCGTGTGGAAGTTCCTGCGGGGAAATTACTGATTCGAGAACCAGAAAAGCTAGAAAGCTGAAGTTTTAGGAGGATGTTCCCTGTCCAAGTATATTACAAATTTTATTAGCTTCACATCCAT